CCCACTGATTACAGACTTTTGGTTTAGTGGAAGTGCGTATTTGCATGGGAAGTTTCTATGTAGCTGAAGGCTACAGGAAATGTCCCCCAGCCCTGCAATTATACAGCAACTTGTTTTTTTCCTATTTGGAAATGTTTTTCCTTCTTCTAAAACATGAATAATACGAAGGCTCTGAATTATTTACATCCATCTGACAGCGCTCTTCAGCACTGCTGCCAGTGTGCAACGAACTTGAAACAGCAAAATCGGAAAATGGTACAGATTTGTACACTAAACATAAAATGAAATGATGGGGGGCTTGGGGAGGGGGGAAATCAAAAAGCTGGAGTGATTTTTTTTTCATGTGTTAAAACACTCTTCTTAAGAGAGAGCAATTCTAATGTATCCTTCCTCTATGAGCAGTAGTGGTAATGTTTGGCTACGCAACATTTCTCCTTTAGCTGCCAGCAACTCAAATGCAGTAGCCAGCCCAGCTCACATAAGCAGCGGTAGCAACAAGAGGTGAACTGGAATAGCACATCGCAGCTGTATGTCCGTCAAAGCGGAAGCAAGATATTTGCCTCTTCCTGAGCATTGTAGGAAGAGCCTGACACATAGCAGTTCGGGTAGGAAACTGAACTTTCTGAGCCTGACGGTCATTTACCCTCAGGTTACATCTACACTGGAGTGGAGGTGTAATCCCCAGCTCGGGGAGATGTACCCCTCGCTAGTTTGCATTGAGCTAGCTCTCTAACGTCGCAGTGCAGCCAGGGCTCCACAGGCAGCGGAAGGGCCTCGCCACCTAGAGATTCCTGTCTGGACCCTAGGTACCTACTCGGGGTGGCTAGCCCGCCCTGCTGCCTCTGCAGCTGCAGTGACATTGTTATTTTTAGCATGCTAGCTTGATCAGAGCTAGCAGGTGTATGTCTAGGCAAGCTGGAAATCACATCTCCAGCACAGACAGACCCTAAGGCCTTTGGCCACCGGCACACTGTAAAGGGGCCCAAACAGGTGTTTACACTACTACTCACCACCACAATATATTTTCCTCTATATAGAGCAAACGGGAGGCAGAACTCAAATGACAGGGGTACTCAGGGTTTTTTCAATCACATGACCCTTCTTCACCTCATGTCACATGACTGAGCCTAGGAAATATAAGGACCTGTGTCTCATTTACATTTCTGGTAAATCTAGACAGCCAAAGAAGATGCAATTGTAGCATGCGTGAGTATACCCATCCTCGCTTTAATATAGCCAGTGTGGGAAACAACAGTAGTGACCGTGTGGCGGCAGGGGCTTCAGTAAAGGCTAGCCGATCCCGTACGAGGACCCTGGGTATGTAGTCGGGTTGTTAGCCCACACTGAAGTCTGTCCTGCCACGTCTTCACTACTAGAGAGACCCATGCTAGCTAGATTAAAGCTAGCATGGCTATGCCTAACCTTGCTACAATCATACCTTCACTTGCAGTGCAAAAAGAAAGAAGCAGGCTGGCAAGGAGAAGAGTATAATAGAATAGGGAGGGTAAATTCTGCACCTTAATCTGGATGGTGATTCTCAAGGAGAGAGACAACACATCATCTATTTTAGGTACTTACGTGGCCTCCATCACCATAATATCCGAGCACCTCTCAATCTTTAATGCATTTATCCTCGACACACCCCTATAAGGTATTATCCCCATTTTATAGATGGAGAATTGAGGCACAGAAAGGCTATGGCCCAGATTTTTAAAGGTATTTAGGTGTTGCAATGCTCAGCATTGCAATGCCTAACTGATTTAGGAGCCTAAATCTCATTTTCAAAAGGCATTTAGGCAGTTAGGAATCAAAATCCCATTGAGAGTCAATGGGATTTAAACTTCTGGGTCATTAAAAATCTGAGCCTAAGTGACTTGCGCAGGGTCACACTGGAAATCTGTGGAGGAGCAGAGAATTTAAGCAGGTCTCCAGTCCTAGGAAGTGCCCTAACCATTGAACCATCCTGTCCTCTAATTTATTTAGAATTTCTAAAGGCTTTTGGATTAAGTGCCTCATGAGATGCTATTTGGAACCTTTATATCTGAAGGCTGAGACGTCCTGTTACAAAATAAAAAGTGGTATTCTCAATCAGGGATCTGAATGTGCTTTCCAAAAGATAACTCATTACCTGAGCTGCTCAAGGAAAAAAAAAGGAATGTTTGTTGTTTTGTCAAAAGAAAAATCTTTAAAACATTTTTTTTAAACAAATTGTGGTTTTTTTGTGAAAATTTTCATTTTGTTGAGAAGCCATTTTTCATCCAAGAAATAAAAAATGTGGAGAAAAGATCTTCGTCCAGCTCTATCAATTATCATAATCCCCTTTTTTCGATGGGGGCATAAGTGGCATAGAAAGTAGTTTGGTTTGCCCAATGTTAGTGGCAGTGGTCACTACAAAACCCAGGTCTCCTGACTCGGAATCCTCTGCTGCAACCACTAGACCACAGTGCAGTCAGCGGGAGTCATGTCCTGAGCAGGTGTAAAGATTTGGCCCAGGAAGAACAACATAATCAACTGAAATCATAGAGGTAGAATGTAATTCCCCAGGGATAGTGGGGTTAGTTTGGCTACTCTTGTGAAAAGTGCCATGGACTCTTCAGTGATGAGTGGTGAGGACTTGGATTGGACATGTGCAGAACCACCGTGCTGGGGAATCAGTATAGGGTTGATTTAAAGGGTAGAGTGCCAGCTGCTACATTAACAACAGGCAACAGCCAGGTCTCTTATCTACCTAGACTATGTATCCTGACCCTACATTCATCATTGTAGTATCTGAGTGCCTTACAAACTCTAAGGGCTTGTGTGCCTTGGATCTGGAGGCGCCATTTCCAGTTCGGGTAGACATACCCACGCTAGCATGCTAATCATAGAAGTGTAGCCGTGGCAGCACGAGTGGCAGATAGGCTAGGTGCCCAAGTACGCACCTCGGGTTTCAGATGGGATCGTACTTGGGGCACCTACTCTGTCTCACTGCAGCTACACTGCTGTGGCTACTCGCAAGTTAGCTCAATCAGAACTTAGTGCAGGGACGGCCACCTGAGCTGGAAATTACACCTGCAGTTCCAGCATAGACCTACTCAAAGAGTTAACACATTAACTGAATTCTACGCACCCCACAGTCAGTAGGCTTTTGTCTTAGGTTTGTCTATGGGGTCCAGGTCAGGGAAATGGGTTTTACATTTCTGTCTGGAGGTGGTAGGACTCTAAGCTCTGCCAGGAGTGAAGCCACAAGGGATTTACCAAGAAAACTCTGTTTCCCACGAACACCCTTGAGGATGGTATATGCTTTATTCCGGTGGCTTATTCCCTTGCTGTAACAGGAATTCATAATCATGCAGAGTGAGGAAAGACCCAGTGGTGAGCTGGAGCCGGTTCGCTAGAAACGGTTGTTAAATTTAGAAGCCCTTTTAGAACCGGTTGTTCCGTGAGGGACAACCGGTTCTAAAAGGGCTTCTAAATTTAACCAGCCCAAAGTGGCGCCTTAGGCACCAACTCTATGGTCATGGGACAGGGGTGGATGGGGCAGGGGTCCGGGGGGAGAGGGGGGCAGCATCAAGGAACGTGGGGGGGTTAGATGGGGCAGGAGTCCCGGGGGGGAGGGAGTGGGCAACGACCCCCTCATGGGGTGAGGACGAACCAGTTGTTAAGATTTTGGCAGCTCATCACTGGAAAGACCCGCAGGGAGCTAGGACCAGTCCCAGAAATAGCTTTGAAGATGAGAACTACAAACTCTGTTCTCAATGCGGAGCATAGGAGCTGCTGTGAGATTAGCTGGCCATTGTTGCTGAGTAAGGGGACTGAGTACTGACCTAGCCTAACCCTGTTTAGCTAGTGAGGTCTGATGGGAATTCCCATGCAAGGTGCTTTAGCACCTCATGGCAAGAGAAAGAAAGTTTATACAACAGGGTTGCCTGCCTTAGCAGGGGACTTGATTTGATGACACAGAAGGCACCTTCCAGTCCTATGTTTCTATGAAGCAGGGACATGAAAGGTTACATAAATCCTAATGGTGTCAGCAAGAAAGACACAACAGAAATAGAATTCCAGAAATTAATCTATTGTAAAGGGGTTTTTTTTGTTAATTAAATAAATCAGCGTACTTAATCCTGCATCGTGGCAGGGGGTCAGACTACATGACCCTTGCGGTCCCTTCTAAGCCTGTGATTCTAATACCCCGTAGAAACGGCAGGCTGCTGATCCAATGGTAGCTCAGCCTGTGTGACCATGAAATGCTGGCTCCAATATTAATAGTATTATATGAATCTGAAAGTTCATTAAATCAACATGGAAAATTAATTAGATGGAACTGAAGTGAGTTTGCCAGGGATAGGTATAATCAGCCATTACCTTCAGAACAATCCACACTTTGGGAGCTCTTCAGGGAAAAAATTGTAAGAACATTCTCCTTGGTTTGAATCTAATGTAATTCAAACTTTTTTCTTTAATCCTCCATTACTTGTGATTGTCTTTATTGTCTAAAAATATCTGGTGGAGGCCAGAAATCTGGGTTCAATTCCCATTTCTGCCATAAACTCTATGACCTTGGGCAAATCATTTAGGCCAAAAGTGTCCACTAGTTTTGGCTACCTCAGTTTCAGGGCCCATCTTGAGATGCACAGAGGCCTGATTCTCATTTACACTAAGACCCGTTTACACCACTCTGACAGTGTGGAGGACTGTACAAGTGGTGGAAGTTACAACTACATCCACTTTAAGGCCCCTCTGCACTGCCAGAGTTATGGGAAGGGACTGCAGAATAAATGAGAATCAGGTTTTTAATGTCCAACCTTGCCCTTGGACAAGCTCAGCTTTTACAGCTATAGAAACCAAAATAATAAGGGTAAGTGATTTGCCTAGGACCAGAGAGAGAGGCCGTGGAAGAGCTGGGATTAATCTGAACTAAGGAAGACTCAGAACTGTGCCCAGACCTGATACCTCTTCCCAATATGGAACATAAAAGCCCAGGCCAGACCTGAGCTTGCAAAGATGTAATTGCTACTTACAAACCAATAGACATACGGTGAAAAATAACGTCCCTTCCACAAACACTCCCCCTGGCAGCATGACTGAAGTTAGCACTGGCCACGCAGGAAGCTGAAAGTGTGTCCATAGAAGCAAGGAGGTGACTTCCTTCCTGTCCTGTGAGGGAGCCATCCAGATCTTCGAGGATGGCCGAATGGGGAAATGGGAATGACGCCTGGTTGGGTGAATTCAGGAATGCCAACCGTTCAGCTCTCACTGTAAATCCACCTGGGGAAACAAGCAACCATTCAGAAATGCAACGTCACACCTTTGTCTGACTGGGGGTGCAGGGGCACTACCTACTCCCCCTTTCCCCCGCACCACCCCCACCCGGTGAACAAGGGGTTAACCTCAACTGAGTTTCCTGTCAGAGAAATGGCTGCTTGGGACAGAAAGGGGAGCCTGCAGGCCTCCACACCCTGGGTCTGCGGTGTGGCTGGTCACATACCTCACATGTTATTGGTTCTACCTACTGACTGGATAATGAAATATTTTAAACAGAAGAATCATAACCAGATGGGAAGCATGGTCATAGGAATGGCCTTACTGCATAGACCCAAGATCCACCTAGTCCAGTATCCTACCTCTAACAGGTCTTTTGATTCGAGCACTGGATTCAGATGCAGCAGTAACAGTAGATTGGCCCCAAACTAACATAATCAAATAGGCTCATAACTACATACACACACACACACCCCTGGCCCAGGACCCATAGCAAACAAAACATAGCACTTTTGTTCACTAGTCACTGTTTGTTAATATAAGACCTTCCTTTTGCACAGCTGAAGTTGCTTTGGGGGCAGATTTTGCCCTCCTGGTGCCATTTGATCTCCATTGCTGAAGTATTTTTCACCATTTTTATAGGAAAGTGTATGGTTTTATATAGTTAATAATTACACATACACACATATTTAACAGTTAATTGCAGTTGGAACTTTCTTCAAAGAGCCTTTGGGTAGCTCCTGAAAACTCAATATAATTCTTCGTTTACATACATTATCTCAGGCAAATTCACCTAAGATTTAGGGTGGCCTGAGGTACAACCTTGTTGGAATTCTATGAGGATGGGTTGCAGTGATTAAAGAATATGCCACTATGTTGAAGTATTACCCCCCCGAAAAAGGAATATTAACAAATTAATGTGTTAATCGCTATCCTTACATCCCAATGGGGCTTCTGAATAATTGTCCCAAACTCAGAGAAATAGGAAAATTAAATCATGGTTGGGAAAAAAACCACCTTCATCTGAAATCTATGCAGCATTCATGTCTGTCAGTTTAATAGCCCAGCTCTTCCAGGTAGAGAATCCATGAGCAGCATCTGCACTCAGAGCCCCAGACAGGGGTGAGCGCACTGCAGTAAGGGGCTGGCAAGGCAGCAAAAAGGCTGTAAGGAGATACCCATGCGTCAGCCCACCAGTGATATCAGAACACTGAGGACTACTTTCAAAAGCACCCTAATGAACACGTATGTGTCCAAGGGATGGAGTTATAATGCTCCCTCCTAAAATTATGGCCTAGAGCTGGCCCAGGTTACCAGAGCCGCATAAGACAGGTGTTGATTTGCAGGACAGCTACATTAAGTTTTTCTATGACCCTCCTTCCCACAGCATCTGAGCACCTCAAAATTTTTAATGGGTTTATCCTCACAACACCACTCCGAGACAGGGAAGTGCTATTACCCTATTTCATAGAGGGGAAACTGAGGTACAAAGAGACTAGGTAGCTTGTCCAAAGTCATACAGGAAGTCTGTGGAAATGCAATGAATTGAACCCAGATCTCGTGAGTCCCAAGGCAGTGCCCTAGTCAGTGGATCATCCTTCCTCTGGGATACAGGCAGCAAACTCTAGCGATGCCTCTCGGTGAAAGAAACAAAATCACAAGGGCAACACCAATCTTTACAGAACTCCAGGATTTTTCAGACTCTGCTATGTCAGAGCATCAGTGTAAATGTAACTTACCCTGGCCTTGGTAACAGCCAGAACAGGTGCTGATTGCAGTGCAAGTGCTAATATCGAAGTTCATGAAAGATGTACTGGAAACCAACAGTTCATGCCTTTGGGGAGTTTTCAGCCCTGCTGACATACAGCTACTGTCCTGCAAGATGAAAGTAAAGAGCACAGCCGAACACATCAGCATTTGTGTCTCCCGAGTGAAATAAGCCCAGGGTCCAGATCCTCAGCTGCTGCAAATTGATGTAGCTCCTTTGAAGTCCACAAAGCTGGGACCAATTTACACCATCTGAGGACCTGGTCCAGGCTGTCCAATATATTCAGAACAAAACTTGGAAGCACACAAAGGATGGAAAATCAGAAAGCAAATAAATATGGAGAAACAAGAAAAGATAAGGGTGAAAAAAACAAAACCAAAAAACTTAGGCAAAGAGGCAAAAAACATGACCAGAAAGAGAAAATGGACAGAAACAAAATGACAGTAGCTCTTCCAGGACATAGCACACAGAGACATGGGGGTAGCTGGTCCCATCTCCCAGTCCATGTGCTGCTGCTGGGAGCAATCGTAGGCACAGAGATGGTGGGGAGAGTGGAAGAGGAACTGGCATGACCCCATCTGCTGATGTTGGTTTGGGGCCCACCCACTATCCTGGAAGGACCCTCATCAGCAGGAAAGCACAACCAAAGCCCTACACAAACATTGTATCAAGGAACTTTAAACACATGAATCAAAAATGCAATTTAAAGGTACTCTATAGCAACAGGATTCTTTTAATTAGCCATTAAAGATGGCATTGTCCCTTTAAGAGACAGGGGCTCTACCATTTCCCTTGAGCCCTCCCCAAGGAGGGAATTTGGAGATTCTCTAGGTGAAGAACTTGGTCCCAAGTCAGTACTGAGCTAATGCCTCAACATGGGGTTCCACAGACCAGACAGATTTAAATCTTCGAATGTTTTTTCCTACCTACTTTTTGCTTTATTTATGTCCATCCCATCACCCCCAATTATATCCCTTTGCTTCACATTGTACAAGCTGTTTCCTTTCTTAATGTTTTCACCCTTCAAATATTTTTAGAAGACTGTTTCACTCTTTCTTCCTCCCCAAACATGCATCACCTGCCTTGGACAATCTGTCTTTGCCAGAAGTTAACGGTTTCTTTTACATGCAATGCATATGCATCTGGTTCACTGACTGAAAAATGCAAAGGCTCTGATCCAAAGCCCACTGAAGTTAACGGGAGCCTTTTTGTTGACTTCCGTCAGGCCCAGATACTACAGCACTAAAAGACTGAGGACTCAATTTCAATTTTCCTAATATTTCCAAAAATAATAATCTGCTTGCAAGGCACCCCTTTAAAAAACAAAACAGCTGGCAGAGCAGAATAGCCAATGTTCCTGTTAAATTCATGTCACAAAGTTTTAATTGATGTTAAAGAGACATCATTATTAAAGGGAGAATTACATAAATTAAGATGTAAATGATGACAAGGCGACTCTTATCATGAGATAATCAAAGATAATCACACCCTTGGGGGCCAGTGAGGAACAACACACAGCTGAGCGCCTCTACTTCTCTTAACATGTAAAGCCCTGGAGTTCTCTGGATCCTGTAACAACACAGAGAGCCATCCCTTCAAGTCTGAGAGCAATTCACTGTACAGCTAGAAGATTAGTTGTTTGGGGCCGTAGCTTTATTTGAGCTCTGTACTCCTTATGGATCAATCCACTACATTAAAATGCTGTCTTCCCCGGGCTTATAAATTAGCCTTTTAAAAAATATATCCATCAGCCAATCAGATTGGCAATGTACCCCAAGCAATTCAGTAAGCTGAGCTAGAAACCAGAGCAGAAAAATATGAAAAAGAAAGCTGTGGACAGCTGTTGATAAGATTCTATTATTAATTAAACTGTTTGCATTCCAGTACCACACAGAAGACTCGGTCAGGCAGGGATCTTATTGTACAAGATGTTACACAAGCACATAGTGAGGGAAGATACAATTTACTGTCATAAATAATAACAGTTAGCACATGATCGTATTTTTCATCTTCAAATATGACTTAATTCTCAGAGCCCCAGTGTGAAACACTGATTTACAGAGTGAGGAATCAGGACAGAAAGGTTAAAAATATTGCCCAAAAGATTACAAGGGGTATCAGTGTCAGGACTGGAATTGTGTACCCGAGTCCCAAACTTGTGCTCAGGCCACTAGACTAAATTTTTCAGTGACACCTGGTTATACGCTGGCTGGGCATTTTTGTAAAAGGTTAAAACTAATGATGGTTAGAGCTGGTCAAAATATTATCAACAGAACAGTTTTCCATCAACAACTGAGTTTAGTTTAAATCTAAATGTTTCACAGGAATGCGTCAATTTTTGACTAATCAAAAAAAATCAAAATATTTCACTTCAGCAGTGTCAAAACCTGTCATTTTTAATACCGTTAAATGTTTCATTTCAAAAGTGTCATTTCAATTCCTTCCGTGTAGTCTGTTATACTCTATTAAAATATTAATTTTGATACAATATTTAATATTACGTGTATACAACCTAAGTTTAAGAATTTAAACAAATGTCAAATGAAATGTTTCGATGGTCTCAAATCAACATTTCTGAATTTTTTTTCTGTGGGAAATTTCAGCTTTTGACTCCAAATTGGACTTAAAAAAAAAAAATTGGAATTTCCCACAGAATGGAAATTCTGTCTCTGGCTCAGTTTTAGTTTTTGTGTTTGGATAGAGCTTGTACTTGGATATACAGTAAAACCTGTAGAACCTGGTATGTGAAAAGTGACATTATAACTAGTTTTATAACCTTATTGTACTTCCCTCTACTACCATCCTAAAATAGAGGCAGCTAATATTATGAAACCACTGACTTGGAAGGGTAATGTTGCTGGCACACTTCCCTCTCATTCAGTACCAAAATGGTGCCCTTGCATGGTATTAGGGGCATTGCGCTGCTGGAGTGTTGTTTTTCAGGTGGAATGGAAGAAACGTAGGCCCTTATTATTTGAGTTATGGAGGTTTCTCAAAGCTCAGAGATTAAGTGAAGTTGGCACTGAGAAAACAACTAAATCTTCTGGAGAAGCTGGCTTTTGTATTTCCTTCTGTTGGGTCTGATACTAGTCTGTAAGAAGGACCGTTTTAAAATAGACTGGGCTGAAGAAGCAGAATGAAAACAGCTATTGGAGTTCTTACCTTTTGACCAAGGTGTCCAAGTAATAAGCTGTTAGCAATAGTGGTGTTTCCAAGGCTTTCCACGATGTCAATTCCAAAATCTTTGCAAGCATAGATCTGGAAATTTCGGAGTTCCAGGTTGCGGCTGCTAAAAATCTATTTAAAAATAATAATAATAATAAATACAGAAAAGTTCTGTGGATCATTATTATCCTTTCACCACTGTGTAGCAGAAGAGGGAGATTGTCAAAGGCACAAACAGAAGTTGAGCATCTAATTTATCTTTGAAAAGCTCACCCTTAATTCTTTATTCCTGTTTACAAGGATTCAAAAAAATAACAGGTTATTTCCACGTTGATACAAAAACTGCACTGGAAAAATGAGACTAAATAGTCAGTAATATCCAGGGTTGAAGATGCAGTAAATACTATTTTTGTAATTATTGAAGAGAGCAATAGCTAAAGAAGACAAGGGGGGAAAAGATGTATTATAAAGAGGCATTCCTTGAAGGTAACCAAGGTACTTTTTACAACCACATGATTATGGGAAGATAGCTCCCAGTGGGTAGCACATTCAAGGAACACAAAATAAACCTCATTATTATGATGCGGTGGGGCAATAAGGTACAAAGAATAATAAATTGGGTGGTTTGGCAGCCTGGCTATCTGAGTCAGCATGACAGATAAAAGGTCACCAAAATTGGAAAACACTGGTCAACTTTATGTTGTTTCATACAAGTAAACATTTCCAGAACCAGCAAATTCCATTCTAGGATGTTGAAAAATTCAGCAGTATACAGAGAAGAGCCACAGAAAGGATTTGAGACTAGAAACATGCCTTACAGAGACTTTAGGAGCTCAATCCCTTTAGGTTATGAAAGAGAAAGTTAAGAGATGACTTGATCACAGCCTATAAGTACCTATATGGGAAGAAGGTATTAGATACTATAAGGCTCTTTAGTCTAGCAGCCAAAGGCATACCTAGATTCAATGGCTGGCAACTGAAGCTAGACAAATTCAGACTAGACATAAATGTACATTTTTCACAATGAGGATAATTAACCATTGAAAGAATTAACCAAGGCATGGTGGTGGATTTTCCATCATTTAGAATCTTTAAAATGAGCATGAATGTCCTAAAAGGTCTGATCTAGTTCCACCACAAGATATTGGGACTGATGCAGGAATTACTGGGTTAAATCTGGCCTGTATTATGCTGGAAATCAGACTAGATCAGTGGTTTTCAACCTGTGGTCCACAGACCCCTAGGGGTCTGCAGACTATGCCTAAGATTTTCAAAGGTTCCCCACCTCCACTCAAAATTTTTTAGGGGTCCACAAATGAAAAAAGGTTGAAAACCACTGAACTGGATGATCACAGTGGTCCCTTCTGCAGTACCAACTGACCAAAGTGGGTACAGAGGAGCTGCACCTTTGAGGATTACATTGAAGTGTCCTGAACTACCAAAATACAATTAAAACCAATTATACCTGAACCCCGCCTTGATTTCTCCAGGCTGTGAAGCTCTGGAACAGAACTGGGCCCAGGCCATCTACACGTTTTGGCTGGTATTCTGGATACACCAGGAGACCATACCTGTGTAAGAAGAAAAATGAAGGAAGAGAATGCCCAACTTTCTTTCTGTATATTTATTTATGTGTAGGTTTTTCTATTACACTTATCATGGTATCTTAGTGCCCAAGCCTGCACTAGCTCTCTGCATTGGCACATTTATTCAGAAATAAAGAGGTTTTGTACTCAAATATTTATATATATATATATATCTAACAATCCTTGTCCAGAAGTAGTTCTCTAAAACTCATGACATTTCTCTTGCAAGTGCCTCCAGAATTTGCCACAAGAGGGCTAATGCTCAGGCTGAGACAAGACAGCTATGTACTCTCACCATCCATCAAACTCTGGCCAACTTTGCTGCCTCTGAACTAATTGGATCCAGATAGAAAGTCCCTTACAATTTGGAATTCAACAACATAAGGGTGAGTTTTGATTCCAACAGTGCCAAAGTTTGGGTGTTTCTGCACGCAACAATTTTGGTTTGACCAGTTGGAGGGTTTCTATCTAGATCATGGTTCAAACTTCCTGAAGTTTTAAGCATGTGAATAATCCCATTTCTATTCAGTAAAGCACTTAGTCACATGCTTGTATTTAAGCATGTCCTTAAAGTTAAGCATATAAGCACCTGCTTAAGTGTTTTGCTGAATAAGGATGGGATTACTCACAGGCTTGAAGTTAGGCAGGTGATTAAGTGCTTTGCTAATTCGAGGCCTTAAATCTACAGGGATCACTTCATCTGGTACTGAAATGCAGCACCTCTGGGGTGAAATGCATCAGCTGTTAACAATACACATGAAGACTACACAATAGTTTAGGACAGGAAATGAAAAGGGATGTGTCTAATTGAAACTTGAAATGGAAACTATTTACAGATAATCCATGAGAAATAAACCAAACTGAATCGTTATCAGATGACTTCTTTCTGCTGTGGAAAAATCCTTTTATAGATCAGAGAAGATTTTAAATGAACACAAAGCTCTGAAGCTATATTTAAAGGGACAGAGCCTAATTATCTATTTCAATTAATGGAGGGAAAATACTTAAGCAATTCATACTATTGAAAAAAAAAAATCTTTAGCAAAGGGAATCCCCAAATACCTTGTGCAGGAATGGGCTGTGTTCTTACTGAAGGCAAGAAGAGGAGTTTGTGATGGTCCCTCAGGCGAGAGATGAAAGAAATAGCCATAACCAGCGGCACACACTGTATTAGCCTGCAGACAAGCATGCACTACAGTTAGAAAAGATTCTTGGCAATTAAAAGCTTTGTTTTTAAAATCACTTTGGGCCAAGCCCTCTAGTCCTATGCCTTTAACTTACATAGTTCTCCTAAGTGCTTTAGGAGAGCTAAGTATTTATTTATTATTATTAATTTATTATTATTGAAATCAGTGCAAATTCTGCCAAGTACATACTACAGCATCCTCACTCCTGCTTTCTTTCTCACCCAGGGCCACTCTCCACCCTCAAGCTATGCAATAGTATCTGGCAGACAAGCAGGCATATCATATAGCACCTCAAGTTCCATTTTGATCTGTAAATTCCACAAAATTCCAGGTTGGCTAAAACTTCTTGTTCACTGAACATTATTTTATACATAAGTGGGCTGATTAAATCTTGGTCTACCAATTTCTGTCTTTCTCAACATGTATATTTTTCCATGCAAAAACAAACAAACACTAGAGTTAATGCAACACTAGAGTTGAGATATTGAGCAGAACATGCAGAATTAAGGGTTAACGGACAAATGGTCAATGGTTGGAAGCTGAAGCTAAACACGTTCAAACTAGAGACAAAGGATGTTTTTTTTTTTTTAAATCAGTGAGGGTTATTAACTACAGGAAGAAGTGACTAAGGACACGGTGGATTCTCCAGCACTCAAAGTCTTTAAATCAAGACTGGGTATCTTTCGAAAAGATATGCTACAGCTCAAAACAGAAGATCCAGGCTTGATGTAGAAATTGTTGGCTGAGGTTCTCTGGTCTGTGCTATGCAGGAGGTCAAACTAGAAGTCATAATGGTCCCTTCTGGCCTTAAAGTTATGAGTTTATTAAATAAGTGAGTAGGGAGTGGATTATGCAGGGATATAAGCAATGGGATAAGGAACTTTTCAACGCCAGCAGTGAAATCCTGTCCCATTGAAGCCAATGGGAGTTTTGCAATTGATTTCAAAGGAGACAGGAGTTTATCCTAATCATAATTCAGATCTGCTCTGTGTTGGCAGTGGCCAAAATCAGTTGTCATTAGATGGTGTCAATCGTCATGGTGTTTTTATGTGGACACTTTTCCACTAGGACCTCCAACTCACTTCACAAAGGTCACCGGTCAGCTTTAAAATGGTAGTGAGTAATGACCCTAATCAAAGCCACACCAGTGACCCAGAGGTGAAAGGCTCCATATTCCATTGCCAGTCTCCTGACCCTGTTAGTTCCCTGCAGTCGTGATCTTTGACATCTTTCAAAAAACAAAAGGATATCAATGTCCAAAGCATTGCCTTATCTCCCATCTTGCAGAGCTGCAACAATTTAGAACATGCTACCCAATACAGATCCCTTTCCCTTAAAAAAATGCTTCTGCAGTCAAGTCACAGTATTCTAGGATCTTTTACTTGCAATTGCAATTGTGCATTCCACAGAAGATTCATAAGGAAAAACTGCACATTTATTCAGGCAGCCAGTGGCTTGAAGGCAGCGGTTTTAAGCAGGCAGGGAATTTTGTGTGGAAATCAATTTTTTGTGAAGTCAGTGTATTACGGACATCCATGCAATCAAAATTCCAGAGAGAAATTAATTGCCAGTGTATGCCAGATCCCTGAAGGTGTGCATCTGAAGTCACTGGAATAAAATCCAGTCAATGTTTTAAGTGCCTTTTAACTGATAATGTAACTATTTCCATGAATACCTTAGGATGAACAGTGATGGTCCTTTAAAGCTCTGCTTCCTCTTCTCCCCACCAATAAAATACAACACTGAAGGAGTTTCTAGTACTATTCCCCAATGCCAAAGCCCATGAGAATGCAGCAAGTTGTCCTAATGGGTCTATGCAGCAAGCATTCACATTGCAGTAGGTCTCAGAAAGTGCCATGGTAGGGAAGCAATGGTGGGCAATTCTTAAAGGCAGAGGGTGTGTCCTCTCCCCAGTGGCCAATAGTCTGGGAGTTGGCTAGTTCAGATGATATTGGTAAGGAGCTAAGGAACCGTTCATCAGCAACAGTGAATTCCACTGAATGCATCCAATGAAGTGAGTTGTAGCTCACGAAAGCTTACACTCAAATAAATTTGTTAGTCTCCAAGGTGCCACAAGTACTCAAGTTACTACTAGACAGCTGTTTGGTGAGCTAGGTGCAATTGTTGATGTCCATCCATTTTCTGGTGTACAGGAGACCACAGCCACAAAAAGATACCTCTAAGCATTAATTTGTATCCCTGTGCTAAGGCAAGAGGCTAAGGACTGAATAAGCATAGAGAATAAGTTGCCTTCTTGTGTTAAAGGAACTCCCTCCATGTTGGAGCTGATGCGCTCTGGAGAGGTACCTGTTCCAAGGATAAAGAGAGGTCTTCATTCTCCAGGGTTGTCAATGCACTAAAACCACGGAGAAGTACAGGCCCAATTCTCCTCATCTGGATGCAAAATAGAAGTAGGTATACTGAAGCTAATGGAATTACTTTGGGGTAAATGAGGAATTCTTTAATGGCTGGTTCTGTATGTACCCTGATTCACACAAAGTGACTGAAAACGATTGTGATGTTACGAACAACAGGATTAGGACTTCAAATGAGGAAGGAGCTGCAGGAACTGCTGAACTGCTGTAATGGGACCTGGCCCAGACTCTTTTCTCAGTTTCACTGGGATAACTGAAACAATGGGACTACACTGGTTGTGGCAAATCTGGAGTAACAGATTAGAATCTGGTTCCAGATGTTCAGGAATAATAAACGGGGGATGATAAAAAACAGAAAATGCATGATCTGTAGAAGCAGAATTGTTTGTAGACATAATGTTGATTTTCTAAGTCCTTCAGGAGGCAACAGCAGCTTCATAGAATCATAGAATATTAGGGCTGGAAGGGGACCTCAGGAGGTCATCTAGTCCAACCCCCCTGCTCAAAGCAGGACCAATCCCCAACTAAATCATCCCAGCCAGGGTTTTGTCAAGCCTGACCTTCAAAACCTCAAAGGAAGGAGATTCCACCACCTCCCTAGATAACCCATTCCAGTGCTTCACCACCCTCCTAGTGAAAAAGTTTTTCCCAATATCCAACCTAAACCTCCCCCACTGCAACTTGAGACCATTACTCCTTGTTCTGTCATCTGCTACCACTGAGAACAGTCTAGATCCATCCTCTTTGGAACCCCCTTTCAGGTAGTTGAAAACAGCTATCAAATCACCCCTCATTCTTCTCTTCTACAGACTAAACAATCCCAGTTCCCTCAGCCTCTCCTCATAAATCATGTGTTCCAGTCCCCTAATCATTTTTGTTGCCCTCCACTAGACGCTTTCCAATTTTTCCACATCCTTCTTGTAGTGTGGGGCCCAAAACTGGACACAGTACTCCAGATGAGGCCTCACCAATGTCGAATAGAGGGGAACGATCACGTCCCTCGATATTCTGGCAATGCCCCTACTTATACAGCCCAAAATGCCATTAGCCTTCTTTGCAACAAGGGCACACTGACTCATATCCAGCTTCTCGTCCACTGCAACCCCTAGGTCCTTTTCTGCAGAACTGCTGCCTAGCCATTCGGTCCCTAGTCTGTAGCGGTGCCTGGGATTCTTCCGTCCTAAGTGCAGGACCCTGTACTTGTCCTTGTTGAACCTCGTCAGATTTCTTTGGGCCCAATCCTCTAATTTCTCTAGGGCCCTCTGTATACTATCCGTACCCTCCAGCGTATCTACCACTCCTCCCAGTTTAGTGTCATCTGCAAACTTGCTGAGGGTGCAGTCCGCGCCATCCTCCAGATCATTAATGAAGATATTGAACAAAACCGGCCACAGAACCGACCCTTGGGGCACTCCGCTTGATATCGGCTGCCAACTAGACATGGAGCCAGTGATCACTACATAATGCAAGTCTAGTGACTTATGAGGAGAGGATGAGGGAACCGGTCTTATTTAGTCTGCAGAAAAGAAGAGTGAGGGGGGATTTGATAGCAGCCTTCAACTATCTGAAGGGGGGGTTTCAAAGAAGATGGCTCTAGACTGTTCTCAGTGGTGGCAGATGACAGAACAAGGAGCAAAGGTCTCAAGTTGCAGTGGAGGAGGTCTAGGTTGGATATTAGGAAAAACGATTTCACTAGAAGCATGATGAAGCACTGGAATGGGTTACCTAGGGAAGTGGTAGAATCTCCATCCTTAGAGGTTTTTAAGGCCCGGCTTGACAAAGTCCTGGCTGGGATGATTTAGCTGGGGTTGGTCCTGCTTTGAGCAGGGGGTTAGACTAGATGACCTCCTGGTCTCTTCCAACCCTAATCTTCTATGATTCTATGAAGTGCAAAAGTAAAATTAGGCAGGCCAAAAAATAATTTGAAGAGCAAATAGCAAAAGACACAAAAACTAACAGCAACAACAACAAAAAATTAAGTACATCAGAAGCAGGAAGCCTGCCAAACAATCAGTAGGTCCACTGGATGACCAAAACGCTAAAAGACGACAAGGCCAATGCAGAGAAGCTAAATTAATTATTTGCATCGGTCTTCACTGCAGAGGATGAGAGGGAGTTTCCCACACCTGGGCCATTCTTTTTAGATACATATTGGAGGAATTGTCTCATACTGAGGCGTCCATATAGGAGGTTTTCGAACAAACTGATGAATTAAACGGTAATTAGTCACCAGGACCAGATTATATCCACCCAAAAGTTATACAGGAACTCATATATGAAACTCCACAACTACTAACTGTGGTATATAAACTACCACTTAAATCAGCCTCTGTACCAGATGATTGGAGGGTAGCTAGTGTAATGCTGATTTTTAAAAAGACTCCAGAGACAATCCTGGCAATTGCAGACTGGTAAGCCTAACTTCAGAAACAGGCAAATTGGTTGAAACTGTAGTAAAGAACAAAATTATCAGACACATAGATGAACAACATATATTGGGGAAGAGTTGGCTTTTGTAAAGAAAAATCATGCCTCACCAATCTATGAGAATTCTTTGAGGAGGCCACCAAGCACGTGGACAAGGGTGATCCAGTTGACACCATGTACTTAAACTTTCAGAAAACTTTTGACAAGGTCCCACACCAAAAAGCTCTTAAGCAATGTAAGCAAACATGGGATAAAAGGCAAGGTACTCTCATGGATCAATAACTGATTAAAAGATAGGAAACAAAGATAGGAACAAATGTTCCGTTTTCACAATGGAAAAGGTTAATAGCAGGGTCCGGCAAGGATCTGCATTGAGACCTGTACTCTTCAATATATTCATAAGCGATCTGAAAAAAAGGGTAAACGGTGAGGGGGCATTTTTACAGATGATATTAAATTACTCAAGATAATTAAGTCCAAAGAGGACTGTGAGAAGTTACAATGGGATTTTACTAATCTGGGTGATGTGGCAATAAAATGGCAGATGAAATTCAGTGTAAGTAAGTACAAAGTACTGTACACTGGAAAAAATAATCTCAACTCTACATACAAAATGATGGGGTCTAAATTAACTGTCACCACTCAATAAAAAGATCTTGGAGTCATTGTGGCTAGTTCTCTGAAAACATCTGCTCAATGTGCAGGGGCAGTCAAAAAGCTAACAAACTGTTAGGAAACACTAGGAAAGGGATAGATAATAAAACAGATAATATCAGAAATGTCATGCTCTAAATCCAGGGTACATCCATACCTTGGATACTGCACGCAGTTCTGGTCACCCCATCTCAAAAAATATGTATTAGAATTGGAAAAGGTACCGAGAAGGGCAACAACAATGATTAGGGGCATGAACAGCTTCCATAGGAGGAGAGGTTAAAAAGACTAGGACCGTTCAGCTCAGGAAAGCGATGACTAAAAATGGAGATGACAGAGGCCTATAAAATCATGCCTGGGGTGGAGAAAGTGAATAAGGACGTGTTATTTACTCCTTCTCATAACACAAGAACCAAGAGTCACCTAATGAAATTAATAGACAGCAGGTTTAAAACAATCATAACAAAGTACTTCCTCACACAACGCATAGTCCACCCGCGGAACTTGTTGTCAGGGGTTGTTGTGAAGACCAAGGTTATAACAGTGTTCAAAAAAAAATTTAGATAAATTCATGGAGGAGAGGTCCATCAGTGGCTATTAGCCAAAATGGTCAGAGATGCAACCCCATCCTCTGGGTGTCCCTAAATCTCTAACTGACCGAAGCTGGAATTGGAATATCAAGGGATGAATCACTCAATAATTGCCCTATTCTGTGTATTCCCTCTGAAGCATCTGCTACTGGTCACTGTTGGAAGACTAGATGCTGGGCTAGACAGACCACTGGTCTGACCCAGGATGGTCATTCTTATGAACCCTCATGATGTGCAGATGCCTAAACTGATTAACTTCAAGAGCCTAGTGCTGTGGCTAAAATCCTTCCTTCCCTCCCTGCAGTTCAGCACTTCTACTTTTTATATTAGGGTAGAGTCTGAAGGCCCCAAGTGAGATTAGGCACCATACAGGCACATAATAGGAGACTGTCCCTAACCCCAAAAGCCTACAAATATATTGTGGTCTTTTCTACAGTGAACATGTCTTTCCTTTTTTTTTTTTTTTGTCAAGTACTTCTGGGTGCTGTACAATAATAAATACCCCTACTAATAATGTAGATAAAGGGAGGTAGATTCCTCGTTTTCTTTTAGACTTCAGTATCCTGCTGTTGCAATGCCTTATATGCCCATCCCCTTAGATGGCACCTCACAATGGAGATTGCAATGAGCATCTGCTATGCCACCCACACTGGCTTGAAGAGGACAGGCCCCAGTAGTTTTTACCCCAGTGGCTGGTTACATGTCCATGGCCTCAACTTGTGAATAGATCTCTGAATTTCTATTATAGCACATGAGCTAAACAAATGTGTTGAAAACTGACTGAGTTAGCTTCACAAGTACATTGACAGGTAAATGTAGCAAGCCCTTTAACAGCTGAACCATTGGTACTGAGTCAGACAGCTCTAGGCTATGCCAATGTACAACTGTGTAGATCTCTCTGTGTTTAGAGGCCCTGAAGTCATGCTACTCTGCCTACATTTTTAAAAAACATAATAGATGCCTCCACTATATTCTCTAAAGTGGCCTGTAAAGTTGGGTATATGCCCTGCAGGGAATTAAATCGTAGTTCTCTCTTTATTCTCAGGCAAACTTGTCAAGAGAGTAACACAGGAAACCTGTTGGTCTGTTTCTCACCTTCAAAGTTAGGTGCAACTCTTTGAGGAGCAGAGAGTGAAGGGGAAATCATGTCCTCATATGTAGTTCCTCGTTGGTTTCAGTTTCTATGGATTGGCAGTCCTTGAGTTTTTTCTTGAGTTTCGGGTACAAATTCAGGTGGAATTCACTTGAAACTGTGGAATTGTATTTGGTTTGCCATCCAGATCAGGAAAAACTGAATTTTTTAAAGTTTGATGGAAACAATAAAACTGGTCCAGAATTGATCAGATCTCAGCCTAGGTTTTTTGGCAAAATTTTGTGCGCCTTCTGATGAACCCAAGATGACTTTGGACTTTGTAACGAAACATAAAAAGCTTGGAAGTTACATAGGGACTGGAGTTTTGTTGCAAACATTTTACACCGTATGTATGTGAGAGAAAGAGAGAGATTATGTGGGTGGGTGAGAGTGTGTGTTTATGTATAGAGACAGAGACAGAGATTATTATTAGGGAATATATCATTGTGCACTTGTATTACTATCCTGTTTCAGTAACCATCCTTATTAAAACTCACTCAGTAAGTGAACAACCCGTGTTTGGGTCACCCTGAGAACCATATTTCAGACCAATCTTTTGTTCTTGGATACAGTGTTGTTTTTTACCCTTACCTCTACCTGGTTAGCCGGAGCCCTGATGTAGATCCCTGCTGGTGATAATGTTTCTATGTTGGAAAGTCCATCTGTTCCAGAAAGGCCAATCACTGTGTTGTGACTGACTTCATTCCCCTCTTCCAACCACCCTCCTAAAATATAATCAGAGGCACAAATTCATCAAATACAGCCCAACAGTCAACACCCATGCAGATCACATATTATTCTCTCGGTGTTATTCCCCACCTATAGTGTTGTGCAAGGCACTGTGCGCTGATTGGCTGCAGCTCTTCACCATAGAGGTGTCTGTCTTTCTGCAGTGCTGTACTTGTACTGTTTGCAAAGCACGCTGGAATCTATGTTACGCCACAGAGAGAAAGCTGAGAGTGGGGCAGGGTCAATTTAACATGGCAGGGGTCTAAATATCAGGGGTGAAAATTATTACTGGGGTGCATAATTGAAAGATCAGATAATTTCCACAGGATGGAGAGGGAACTGTTGTTATTAATTTGTACTATGGTTGTGCCAAGAGGCCAGAACCAAGATCAGAGCCTCTTGTGCTAGGCACTGTACAAACACAGAGTAAGACAGTCTGTGCCCCGAAGAGTTTAGAATCTAAACAGAGAAGACAGACAATGGTTAGGAAGAAGAGATATTATGATACACATTGTACAGATGGGGAATGGAGGCACAGAGAGATGAGGTGAGTTGCCTAAATTCACCCTGTGACAGAGCCAGGAGTTAAACCCCAAATCTCCTGAGTTCCCACCCAATGCCTCAACCATGTAAACAGAAAGATTAAAAACACATCATGCAATCATGTACCAAAGTGCCTTGGGTTTTCACTTGTTGTTGTTTTATTTTGGTCGGTGTTGGTTTTTTGGTTGTTTGTTTTGGTTTTGGGTTGTTTGTTTTGTTTTGTTTTTTGAGCGATGAACTAGACAATGGGCAGAAGACAACAACGGAGCCACCACTCACAGCAGCACACATGCCCCCTGCCTGCAGTAATTGGGTCCCCAAAACGGCATGCACCGTGAATTGGCACAGAAAGGAAAGAAAAGCACCCTAACCTCTATCCTAAGGAAATGCCAGCCATCATCTATCTGGAAAATGGCAAGCCCTATCCAGGGAACATGCAAGTCAACCTCACCCTTCCTTTTCAAGACATATGGTTCTTGCTAGGGATAACATATGCCAACGTTCCCTCCAATTCTTCCCTGGACACAGATACCCTCCCCCATATTAACCACCCTAAATTCAAGCTGATCTCCAAATATATATATATATGCTTAGAGTTTGGGGCTTTATTTTTTCACACATCATGCAACCTCTATGGCATTTACCTTGGAACTAGATCCTGCTGAGAAATATTTCCTTTTCAGATTGTATTTATTTCAATCACAGCCATTATGAGAGCAAAAGTAGGATTGTACACTAGTGCTTTGACAGTCATACAGGTTTGAAAGGAGGCATAAAAAGTCTTGGCTTCCAGGCCGGGATCTTGTTTGCCAATTAAGTTTAAGCCCAGAGCAACTTTTTATGACTGTCCTGCAAAATCCTAGCGAATAGGGGTTTAAATGAAATCATTGAGAGATTTCAATTCTAGAGCAGAAAACAGGCAGCTATAATAAATATGCCTTTACAGGTAACAAAATGATATATAAATTCATCTTTCAGACCCTCTGGAGCTACTGACATTGAAGCCATTAAAGACGTCTTGAGGATACAAAGTATTCAGCCCGAAATTTCTGAGGACACATTTAGTTCAGCCCAGAGATTGGAAAGTCAGAATTATGTCTCAGCATGAATGATGGGAGGAACGGATTTCCAAATTAAGACCTGGACAGGTTGAGCTCTGCACCTGTTTATAGTCAAAGTGCTTTCAGTGGGACTCCAGTCAAGCGGAAGGCCTGCATGTGTGCACTGGATTGCAGGGTTGGGGCCTAAGGCTTTTGTTTGTTTGTTTAAATTTAAATTGCTGTTTCTCATCCATGACTGGCGGCAGCCAAAACTAAAGTGATATCATGACCTACTCAGGCAGTATGGAATGCCTGTGGAACAGGCTGCAGACCAATCTCCAGCTTGCTTTAATGGTAGATAGGAGAGAGATTTTGATTTTCAATATTTTTATTGTCTCAAATCAGTCAAGTACTTAAGCCTGTGCTTGACTTTAAACATGTGCTATCATCCTATTGTTTTCAATGTCACCTGATCAACACTAATGGGAAGTATGTGCTTAGGTGAATCAGGGCTATAAATATTACATCATAGAGTTCTTTCCATGACAGGTGAATCAGATTTTTTTTTTAAAAAAAAATCTCTATCTACTGTTAGATTGTAAAGAAAAGAGGTGGTGCAGGAGAGAAGTACCAATAGGACTGAACAAGCTCCATGCTGGTCATAAGAAATGGACCCAAGGCATATATGGTTACAAGAAAACAGGTCCTCAGCATCTGCATGAGGAAGTTGGAGAGTGATATACAGGATTCCACAAGACTAGTGCCAGAGAACATGAATCGAACCTTCTTCCGCCCAAGGAAGTTTCGATTACCTGTACCCTTGGCATAAAGAGCCACGTATAGGTTGATTGAAAATCCTCTGCTTCACTTACCCAGTAGAATCCCATGACCTAAAATGTTATAGAAAACATTATTGTCCACTCTTAACTCTGAGATCCTCGACAGACTGAGTCCCCGACCAAAGGAATCCCACACTGAGCAACCGCGAATGTAAGAATCTGGAAAGAAAAGGGTAGTGTCAGAGGAAAGCAGGAATATAACTCCAAGTTGCCTCCGTTAAAGGTGAGGTTTTTGTACAAGATGTTATTCATCAACTCTGATGCTGCTTGGTTCATCCAATTTGCTGTGATGCTCCGATGAGACAGATCACAATTTAAGCTGTTCACCCAAATTTTGCAATTTTTACTAACCTGCAAGTATTGCTTATATGATGAATTTTACCCCCTCAGCCCTCAAATGATTTCCAATGGGTAGAATGTTTGCAACATTGACATTGTATCACAACATAACGAGGTTTTAAAGCAGCATCATAACATTGCAAAGTAATGTGGCATCGTGCTTAGACAAAGCTATCACATTTTCTATGTCGTCACTATATTAAGTGAATTTGCATCACAACAATGTCATGCAAGTGAGGTTTTTTTCTATACGACAAACTTTGAAATGTGGCCAGTTTAGCACAATCACACAAGAAGCTGAACATATGCCATCCAGTGATTTGCAAAGCAAGAATAAAAATGTCATTACACTGTAAGAGATCTTTTATATATAACCCAGTAAGCCATGTGCAAATTAGCAGACATGACTAAGGACAGGCCAGTGTGGGCTACATGCCAGGACAAAGGCAAAGCTTTCTCAGCTGATGTTCATATCCCGGACTTGATCTAGCTCCCTTTGACACCAATGGAAAGACTCCCATTGGCATGAACAGGAGTTGGACGGTCCCTACAACCATCACCAGACTTTACTTGCAGTCTGCAGTAGTGATGGACAAACCCTAAAAGACTGATATTCCAAGTTAATTAAACCTCCCCCATGAGACTACAGTGGGGGAGGTCTAGGTTGGATATTAGGAAACACTATTTCACTAGAAGGGTGGTGAAGCACTGAAATGGGTTACCTAGGGAGGTGGTGGAATCTCCATCCTTAGAGGTTTTTAAGGCCCAGCTTGACAAAACCCTGGTTGGGATGATTTAATGTGAGTTGGTCCTGCTTTGAGCAGGGGATTGGACTAGATGACCTCCTGAGATCTCTTCCAATCCTAATATTCTATGTTCTATGAATTCTATGATTCTACAAAGTTTGGCTAGGAATATCATGAGAACCAACTTTACCCATGAGCTTTCCAGCTCTTCCTGCTTTCCAATTGCTGGACTGAAACTAATGAAATAGGTTTCAGAGTAACAGCCGTGTTAGTCTGTATTCGCAAAAAGAAAGGGAGTACTTGTGGCACCTTAGAGACTAACCAATTTATTTGAGCATAAGCTTTCGTGAGTTACAGCTGCATCCAATGAAGTGAGCTGTAGCTCACAAAAGCTTATGCTCAAATAAATTGGTTAGTCTCTATTTGAGCATAAGCTTTTGAGAGCTACAGCTCACTTCATTGGATGCAGCTGTAACTCACAAAAGCTTATGCTCAAATAAATTGGTTAGTCTCTATGGTGCCACAAGTACTCCTTTTCTTTTAATGAAATAGGCTCATTCTTAGTATTTTACTTCTGTTTCCAGTGCTGGCCAGCCCATGATTACACAGAGAAGCAACAAAAATGAAATATAATTTGAGGCAGGCTGCTAGGCAGAGGGGAAAAACAACTAAATATCTTAAAACCTTCAACAAGATTCATTAGGGGTTGAGTTCTAGGAATGGATAAAACAATGTGGATTTCCTATTTAATCAAATCACCTCTAGTCCAAAACACATTTCATGGAGCACAGAAAGAGGCCCCTAAATACAAAATTCGGTTTGGTTTGGAATGTGGATTTTGAAGAAAACAGAATCATAGAATTATAGAACTGGAAGGGACCTCGAGAGGTCATCTAGTCCAGTCCCCTGCACTCATGTCAGGACTATATTATCTAGACCATTCCTGACGAGGGTTTGTCTAACCTGCTCTAAAAAATATCCAATCATGGAGATTCCACAACCTCCCTAGGCAATTTATGCCAGTGCTTAACCACCCTGACAGTTAGGAAGTTTTTCCTATTGTCCAACCTACATCTCCCTTGCTGCAATTTAAGCCCATTGCTTCTTCTCCTACTCTCAGAGGTTAAGAAAAAACATTTTTCTTCCTCCTCCTTGTAACAACCTTTTACATACTTGAAAACTGTTATGTCCCCTCTCAGTCTTCTCTTTTCCAGACTAAACAAACCCAATTTTTTCAATCTTCCCTCATAGATCATGTTTTCTAGACCTTTAATCATTTTTGTTGCTCTTCCCTGGACTCTCTCCAATTTGTCCACATCCTTCCAGAAATGTGGCACCCAGAACTGGACACAATACTCCAGTGGAGGCCTAATCAGCGCAGAGTAGAGTGGAAGAATTACTTCTCCTGTCTTGCTTACACCACTCCTGCTAATACATCCCAGAATGACGTTCGCTTTTTTTGCAACAGTGTTACACTGTTGACTCATATTTAGCTTGTGGTCCACTATGACCCCCAGATCCGATTCCGCAGTACTCCTTCCTAGGCAGTCATTTCCCATTTTGCATGTGTGTAACTGATTGTTCCTTCCTGAATGGAGTACTTTGCATTTGTCCTTACTGAATTTCATCCTATTTACTTCAGACTATTTCTCAAGTTTGTTCAGATCATTTTGAACTTTAATCCTATCCCCCAAAGCACTTGCAATTCCTCCCAGCGTGGTATCATCCACAAACTTTATAATTGTACTGTGTATGCCATTATCTAAATCACTGATGAAGGTATTGAACAGAACTGGACCCAGAACTGCTCCCTGCAGGACTCCACTGATTATGCCCTTCCAGCATGACTCTGAACCACTCATAACAACTCTCTGGGAATGGTTTTCCAACCAGTTTTGCATTCACCTTATAGTAGCTCCATCCAGGTTGCATTTCCCTAGTTTATTTATGAGAAGGTCATGCAGGACAGTATCAAAAGCTTTACTAAAATCAAGATATACCATGTCTCCTGCTTCCTCCCTGTCCACAAGGCTTGTTACCCTGTCATAGAAAGCTATCAGGTTGGTTTGACAAAATTTGTTTTTGACAAATCCATACTGACTGTTACTTATCATCTTATTATCTTCTAGATGTTTGCAAATTGATTGCTTAATTATTTGCTCCATTATCTTTCCAGGTTCAGAAGTTAAGCTGACTGGTCTGTAATTCCCTGGGTTGTCCTTATTTCCCTTTTTATAGATGGGCACTATATTTGCCCTTTTCCAGTCTTCTGGAATCTCTCCCATCTTCCATGACTTCTCAAAGAAAATCGCTAATGGCTCAGATATCTACTCAGTCAGCTCCTTGAGTATTCTAGGATGCATTTCATCAGGCCTTGGTGACTTTAAGACATCTAATTTGTCCAAGTAATCTTGTTCTTTCCCTTTTTTAGCCTCTTCTGATCCTACCTCATTTTCACTGTCATTCAATATGTTAGATGTCCCATCACCACCAACCTTGGTGAAAACCAAAACAAAGAAGTCATTAAGCAACTCTGCCATTTCCACATTTTCTGTTATTATTCCCCCCCACCCCGCCCCTACTCACTGAGTAACAGACCTACCCTGTCCTTGTTCTTCCTCTTGCTTCTAATGTGTTTGTAGAATGTTTTCTTGTTACCTTTTATGTCTCTAGCTAGTTTGATCTCGTTTTGTGCCTTGACCTTTCTAATTTTGTCCCTACATGCTCGTGTTATTTGTTTATATTCATCCTTTGTAATTTGACCTAGTTTCCCCTTTTTATAGGGCTCTTTTTTGAGTTTTAGATCACTGAAGATCTCCTGGTTAAGCCAGGGTGGTCTCTTGCCATACTTCCTATCTTTCCTATGCAGTGGGAAAGTTTGCTCTTGTGCCCTTAACAATGTCTCTTTGAAAAACTGTCAGCTGTCTTCTATTGTTTTTAGACTTGCTTCCCATGTGATCTTACCTACCAACTCCCTGAGTTTTCTAAAGTCTGCCTTCTTGAAATCCCTTGTCTTTATTGTGCTGTTCTCCCTCCTCCCATTCCTTCGAATCATGAACTCTACCATTTTATAATCACTTTCATGCCCCAAGTTCAATCAGTTGAGTCTTGATTCATGGTATTTCTTGGGCCTATCTCCGATCTATAATAATAACCAATAGCACCTATTTATTATATAGCATTTTTTATCAATAGATCCCAAGGCACTTCACAGTCTTTAGCGTCTCTACCGTGACTATAGCCCTGAGAGCTCAGACAGTGCTACTGTACCCATTTCACAGATGAGGAGCTGAAGCACAGAGAGGCTAAGTGACTTGGCTGAGTTCAGAGAGGAAGTTGGTGGCAGAGTGGGTAATTGAACCAAGGTCTCCCAAGTGCTAGACAAGGGCCCTAAACAGTCTCTCACCAGTCATACGGGCATCCCCGGCAATGGTCAGTGCGCTCAGGTGGTGCTGGAATGCTTGGCCCACATGCTGGAATTGAACGCCTTCCAAACGGATGCGACTGTCCTCACCCTGGAAAGCTTGCACGATAACAACGGCCCCCATGTCCCGGGATCCTAGCATCCTCTCGCTCTTCTTGTATAGACATGCCGAGGCATCTGAAATACAGCAGAGAGAGTCTGTCAACGGCACAGCTCCACAGTGACTCTATGCTCCATGCAAAGTCCTAAGCCATGCCTTTCCATGCATAAGAGCTGATCCTTTTTAGAGGGACGTATATTGAAACCCACAGGAAGCTGAAGTCATTTTATGCTTCGGTAAGCTCCTTCTGTTCAGTTCTAAATAGATCTGTGCCTGGGAAAGATGACTTTGACATTGATTTACTTTGGGTCAGATTCGTGAAAAGGCAATTGGGCATGGATGTATTTGAATTAAACTGCAATGAGAACACTTCAAAATTCTTTATGAACATCAGCTCTTCACAGTACCTCTCGGAGGTGTAAGTAAGGACTATTACCCCCACCTGGCAAGTGGGGAAAATGAGACACAGAGGTTAAGTAGCAACTTGCTCAGGGTCAAAGATGGAAGCAGGGCTCCGTGACTGGCACTCAGATCACACCTCTCTCTTGTTGGCAGAGGTTAGAGAGGATTGAAATGGGCATTGAGTATGAACAATCCCCGTGCTCCTAGAGATGGCTCTTCCACGTCAGACATGACGCACACAGGTGGGTAGCATATGGAGATTTGTACTACCACTCCCCAGGCTGTGCCTGTTCTGAGGTTAGAGAGAGAATTTCAATCTCCGACACTGTCCGGTCACTTTTAACAGCACTATTTTATTTATTTTATTTTATTTTTAAGACAGAAATGTAACAACAAAATCCCACGGCGACGCTGGCAACCGAGGTGCCAGCTCATGCCAGAGCCGCAGGGCAATTCACCTGCGTAGTAGTATAGATCAAAGTGGCTAGTAAATGTAGAAGTGTGTATTTGGTGCTTAAACTTCATGAAAACGAGTGGGATGTTACGTGCATTGTTTTCACTTATCTGTATCCCGCAAACATGTACATTGCATTCACCCCTGTAACTAAGTAACCCATCAAATGAGAAAGAAGCCTTGTGCAATTCAAACAAAGAACTTTAACAGAAAAGAGCTCATTTAGAAGCAAGTGGGCATTGTGTGTGATGATCGGAGGTCAAAGACTCAAAATGCATTCCTCTCTCCTTCGTCAGAGGAAAAGCCCACATGGCTTCTCATAGCTTGTTTTCTGTGAGAAGAAGCTATAAGTATGGATTCCAGGAAAGACCCTACATCTCTGGACTGTTTGGACTCTTACAGGGAAGTGTACCGGATGCAAAGCAGAGATCCCCAGAGACTATCTGGGAACCATGAAAAGCCTTTTGGGAAACTTGCAGTTTATTACATCCCTGCCACCATTTGGAATTAGAAACTGTGACTCACCTGTGCATATATTTTACCTGCCTTAACTTCTGAATAACTCTCATTTCCTTTTCTTAACTAATAAACCTTTACTTAGTGTACTACAGTATTGGCTACCAGTGTTGTCTTTGGTGTCAGATCTAGAGTACCAATTGATCTGGGATAAGTGACTGGTCTCTTCGGACTGGGAGCAACCTAAACGTGATGTGATTTTTGGTTTAAATGATCTTTTATCACAAAGTCCAGTTTGTCTGGGTGGCAAGATAGACTGGAGAGTCTAAGGGGACTGTCTGTGACTTTATGATGAGAATGGTATAAGTGATCCAAGAGTTCACATTTGTTACTGGTTTGGTGAAATTGAATTATAGAACACACCACCAGATTGGGGTGTCTGCCCTGTTTTCTGACAGTCTGCCTTGAGGTAGGCACTAACAGTCATGAGCCGCTCCAGACAATCTGACACCCACCCAAATCATCTTCTTGTTATTCCTCTGACAACCACAGCTTCACTCTAACACAAATAATACCACTCCCACTCCTAGTGCATATCAGTGACAATAGTCCTGGGTGCCAGAGTAAATTCATGGGGCTGTACCAGCAATTGGCTGTTGCATACCAAATGAAGTCTTGTGTGAAAAGTTTAAAGCAGACAGAATTTTAGTTTTAAAGGAAAGCATAGGCAGTCAGCAGTCCTAATTCTCAATCCAAATTACAGTCACTGGGTATGGTTCTGCTCTCTTTTACGCAGGAACCCCTGGGTGAATCAGGAACCCCTTCCTGGAAGTCAGTGGAGTTATACAGGCATAAAACCACTGTAAGTGTGAGGAAATCAAACCAATTATCGTTATTTGACCAGGTTTTCCAAATGCACTTAGCAACATCCCAGTCTTCTACACTCAAGAGTACAAAAAGGATTGGGAGATTTTCTTTAAGTCACTAACTAGTAAACACAATTAAAAGTTTAACATAATATGTACATGGAAACATTATTTTCAAAAGATATCCTCTTTTGAAAGGTGGGGGGCGGGGTTTTCCGAAGATGGCTTACAACAACAACATGAGGCTAACACATCTGCAAGATAACAAGGAAATTCAGCTCAACCCCTGAGACGTCATACTTTCATGTCAAACAATGTCCGGAAAGATAAATTCACTTTCCTGGAGCTGAGTGGGCTTCAAAGTTATTCTGTTAAGAAGGATTTCTAACAAAATGATATACCATAATGTGATGTCAAAGTAACAATACTGCCTTTATTTATTTGTTTTCCTCCAAACATGTCTCTATCCAAAGAATCTTCTCACCTCCCGACACACCTGCTTTGGCACACTCCCTTAGGTGGGACATCCTCTCTCTGGTGAGGTTTCCTCGGACAACAATTCTCCGGCTAAGCAATGCCACAACAGCTTTCAGAGCAAAGCGATTCCCATGCACCCACTCTTCTCCAGAGCTGTGAGGGTACCTATACAAAGCATAGAAACAGACACAAGAACATGACTGCCGGAATATCTGCAGGAAGCATCCGTTCATCCTGAGCTTGTAGATGGAAACTTCACAATTCAGAGCTGGGTCCAAACTAGTTTTGTTAAGTTTCAGGGTCTAGCTCTGAGTCCATCTCTACTTCATAGCTACAACAGCAAATTCCTGTGAAATATAAAAGAGGTTGGGAGTACGGAAAGACTCTGGTTGGTTTAAAAAGGTTTCAATGGGTTCTATGCAAAAATAATAATAATAATAATAATAATAATAATCAGAATGAAATCTGAATCCACCAGATTCCTTCATTATGACCCTAAACTCACATCAGGCTCATAGAAACGTTCACCAAGAGTGAACCCAGGCTGAGCTTCAAGAGTATGAGCCAAATTATGCTCTCAGGCGGCACCTGCATATTTCAGACAGTTGTGGTACGGGGCCCAATTCTATTGCCATTGCAACCATTGGCAAATCCTCACTGGCTTCACTAGTTTAGTAATATTTTTGTTGCGGTTTTACATGTTTGAGCTTTGTTCATTTATTCCACCCTATCTCTATCCTATTCAGAAATATAGCTGGTCAAAAAAAAAAAGAGGCGGGGTGAGTGGGGAACAGAAAATTTTTATTTTTGGTGGAAATTCAAATAATGAAATATTTTAGCCAAAACCCAACATATTTCTAGTTGGAAACGTTACCATGGTATTTCAGGACAATTTTCATTTGAGTGCCTCATGCTCCTATTTTCTTCTATAGGCCAGGCTCCCTGGTTGGACTACATCCCCCATGCTGAAACGTGGTCTCCTCTCTCAGAGACAGGAGGTGCTGCATTACATGAGTCCCAAGCCATGGTACATCATGGGAGATGTAGTTTGGCCAAGAGCTCCGTGAATACAGCAGATTAGGGGCATGAGGCAATCAAACTACAGCTCCTGGGAGGCCCTGTAGGGGCATTTCCAAATCAAAATATTTTGGTTTTGGCCATTCAGTTAGTCAACAATATCAACAACCACCACAAAATCAAAATTTTCCACAGACACTTTTTGGAAAAATTTTCATTTAGTCAAAAACCCAATTTTCCAGTGAAAAATAGTTTCACTGGAAAATTGTTGACCAGCTCTATTCAGAATATATTGGGCCCTAATGACCTCCAAATATTGGTTTTCTTGGCCAGCATTTTTCAGGCAACTAGAGACCAAATATAGGACTTACAGATACCCACCCTTACCACACATTATTTTATTCTGTACTCAACTTTAATAATTAAGGGCATCAACCTCTAGTAACCTGAGTAATCTGTAATGTTATCTCCATCATGGAAGCCTAGAGTACCGGTACTGGGCAACCAGGACCATCTCAGAAACCACTATCCAAAAAGAATGACCATTTTTATTATATTGGGGTTGGTTTTTTTTATTTTTGGAAATGCCCCCGCTGTATGTGCCCTGGCAAAGAAAAGGAAAATTAAACCAAAACAAATATGCTCAATATCCAATAGGGTCATTCTACTAAGAAATAAATGTTACCTAACTCAGCTTTGCAAATTCTACTCTCCTGCTCAGAGTAAATTTTTTTTAAGTGGGTTCAGTAAAATATCATCAGAGGGTTTTTTGTGGGGAGGGTTCATTATCATAAATAAGGGTGAGAAGCTGGTTTTGTGCCTGAGGTTGTAGAGTTTTTTATAACAGTTTTGAAGGTTTAATTGCTATGAAAAAGCTCTCCAGAGATTGTTCAAAGTCCACTGGCTGGTTCTCGGTTTGCTCTTGATGCACACCAGAATGTATCACTACAGGGTGACGTCACAGTTTCTGTAAAACTTCTCAAAGAAAGGTATTTATATATTATCGTCATCACTTTTTATTGGAATTGCTGCAATTCCTGATCCTGACTCCCATGCTTTACTGACTTTTTTTCTACACATGAAAAATAATCTGTAATAATTTAAAGCAGATTAACTATTCTGGAATAAGAGCATCTACATAGGGAGTTAACCAGGAATACTTAATTAAGAATAACTTCCTGTGTAGACAAGCCCCAAGTTAGCTATCTGTCGTTGGGATCCCCCGAAACCCACTAACCTGAGAGGCAATCTAAGGTAGAGCTCAGTGTTGTTCACTGCCTCAATTGTGACGATTTCCTCTTGCTGATACGTATCTCCAGGACCGGTTCCACTCACAATAACTTCATCCCCAGGCTGCCAGTCAACAGGCTCCTCTAGGAATAGCCTAGTGTCGTTAACACAAGCTGCTGACTTCAGGTGTGTGAACACCACTTCTGGCACCCAACCTAGGAATGATACATGAAGAAATGAACTGGGTAGTTATCAGTCACAAAAGAGGACTCGACAAATCACATTAGCTGGGTGCTTAGAAAATACTGGATAGTCATTCAGACTATGACCAGGAGTACACTAAAAAATTACATGGACTCAGCTACGTTCCTCAAGGGGCGTGAAAAATCCATACCCCTGAACAACGTAATTAAGTGTAGATAGTGCTAGGTAGGAAGAACTGTTACCACCTCTCGGGGAGGTGTACTGACTACAGCAATGGGAGCACCTTTCCTGTTGCTTTAGTGTGTCTACACAGAAGTGCTGCCGCTGTAGCGGTTTAAGTGTAGACATAACTTTTGCTACAGTCATTCACTGATTTGCAGCTATAGCAGTGGCTAGACTAAGGCTACAAAAGAGTATCTGTGATCATTTGTTGATTAATAAAACAGAAACACTGTCACAGCAAATTCATGGTTTTCCCACTCCATTGATTTCATTTGCTGCAAACATTAGAACAAGTGTAGTTGGTTGTTCAAAAGGATCTTTGTGGAAAGTGAAAGCCTTGTGAAGATGCACAAAAACGAGCGTCTGTGCCAGATGCATTTGCACAGCCATCTCTAAACCAGAGAACAGAAAGAATACCATGGCTGATATATTCAAGAGACTAGTGATTGCCCCCAACTGGGAAAATCTGGCCATTTTAAGCTATAATTAAAAAAATACTGAATTGTTAATGATATTGCAGTGCTATACGCAATTATTGTAGTTTTCCTGAACATTTTTGTTGCATTGTTTTGTTTTTTGTTTTACACATTTTTATGGAAAATGTCTCTCCAAATCCCAATCTACATTATTACAGTCGAACAATCTTAAATGCCTCATAAGTTTCCATTTCATATCATCTGCTTTCTTGCTTCCTGTCCTGAACTGCTGTGCAATGTAATGCTGTGCTGTTGAAGGGTTGCCAGGAGATGGTTGCACATGGGTGTTCTGGGATACTTCGGGATGAAATGCACCAGATACGGTACATAACAAATATCTTGATCATTCTGTCTTTTAAAACCATTTGAAAAAAGCCTCTGGCCAGAATAATCCTGTCAGGAACTGAATATGGCTTAAATAATATGTTGATGAATAACTATTAAAATAAAGGTTTCAGAGTGGAAGCCGTGTTAGTCTGTATCAGCAAAAACAACGAGGAGTACTTGTGGCACCTTAGAGACTAACAAATTTATTTGGGCATAAGCTTTTGTGGGCACTTCTCATTGTTTTTATTAAAATAAAGTGAGGCATTGCCTTTATCTCTTGATTATAGCATCTCTCCACACTGCTTTGGGAACATGTCTCAACCCTATAATATGGATCCTTATCTAGACAGAACCTTAATGTGGATATGACTTAAGTTAAAATTGACTCATCAAAGAAACGTTGAGAATATAGTTATAGTACAGGGGTCGGCAACCTTCGGCATGTGGCTCATAAGGGTAATCCAAAGGTGGGCCATGAGACATTTTGTTTACGTTGACCGTCCCTGAGGCCTGCCGCTTCCCGCAGCTCCCATTGGCTGGGAATGGTGAACCGTGGCCACTGGGAGCTGCAGGGGCCATGCCTGCAGATGGTCAATGTAAACAAAATGTCTCGCGGCCGGCCTTTGGATTACCCTAACGGGCCATGTGCCGAAGATTGCTGACCCCTGTTATATTACAAGTATCTCTCTGAAGATGACATCTAAGGACTCATCTACATGTGAAACACTACAGCACCTGTGCCACCGTAGCGCTTCAGTGTAGACACGGCCTATGCAGATGGGAGGACCCTTTCCATTGGCGTAGGCAATCCACCTACCTGAGAAGCAGTAGCTAAGTCGTCAGAAGAATTCTTCCATCCACCTAGTGCTGTCTACACCTGGGGTTAGGTCGGCTCAACTACATTCCTCAGAGGTGTGGATTTTTCACACCACTGAGCAATGTAGCTGTGTCAACCTAACTTTTTCGCATAGACCACGCGTAAGGGAATGGAAATGACCTACTGAGGGTAATAATACTCTGAAATCCTTGGTGAAAGGTTCTGCATAAAGTCAATGGGGAATGTGTGGCCCCATTAAAATCAATAGGCAATTTGCCATTACTTCAGTGAAGCCAGGATTTGACTCAATATACCTAAACAAAAGACCTGGTAGAAACCTTTTTTTTTTTTTTTTTTTTTTTTTTTAACTAAAAGGTCTTGGTTTTGTGATTGTTGTTGAAAATAAGATTTCAATGACAATGACATTTTTGGTCATTTTTCAACAAGGGCAATTTTTTGACAATGACTTTTTTGTCTTTTTTGCAAATAAAATTTTGAAGAAAAATTTTCAACACATTTCCGAATGTTTTTGAAATTTTGAAAATGTTCCATTCCAAGCGAGGAGAAAAAAATCCCATGTTCTCACTTTTTGTAGTTATTTTATTTTTCTCACTTTTCCCTCCTGGAAGTCAGTAAATAAGTGACAAAAGGGAGGTGAAAAAACATTCAAAATTCATTTTTTTAAATGAAATAAAAAACTTTATTTAGAAAAAATGCATTTAAAACCTTTTGTCCACAACATGGGGGAAAATCATAAATTTTTTTAACACAAAAACTTTTTTTTCCAGGAAAAAAAATATGTTAAGCTCGACTTAATACACTTATTTACAAATCCTCACAGTAGCTTGCTGAGACAGATCCTAGAGGTATCCCCAAGTAGAAGGGTAAAAGGAGACACAGGGTATGTCTACACTATGAAATTAGGTCGATCTTATAGAAGTCGATTTTTAGAAATTGATTTTATACAGTCGATTGCTTATGTCCACACTAAGCACATTAAGTCGGCGGAGTGCATCCCCACTACCGTGGCTAGCATTGACTTACACAGCGGTGCACTTTGGGTAGCTATCCCACAGTTCCCGCAGTCCCTACAGGCATCTGGGTTAAGCTCCCAATGCCTGATGGGGCAAAAACATTGTCGCAGGTAGTTTGGGGTACATGTCGTCAGTTGCCCCTCCCTCTGTGAAAGCAACGTTAGTCAATCGTTTCACGCCTTTTTTCCGTGCAGACGCCATAACACAGCAAGCATGGAGCACGCTCAGCTCAGAGTCATCACTGCTGTTGTGTCCGGGGTGCTACTGTCAGCAGACGGTGCAGTAGGACTGCTAACTGTCATCATACACCGCTTCTGCTGCAACTCTGCTCTCCTGCTCCGCAGCGACGAGCTCGGGGGATCCATTCTGGTCCTCCTGGATGCTGTACGACTGCTAACTGTCGTCATCCACTGCTTCCACTGCAACTCTGCTCTCCTGCAGACGCCATACCATGGCAAGCATGGAGCCCATTCAGCTCACCGTCACCACTGCAGTTGTGAGCATTGTAAACGCCTTGTGCATTATCCTGGAGTATGTGCAGAACCGAGCTAAGAGACGCCAGAACGAGGAGGATTTTGATGAGGACATGGACACAGATGTTCCTGAAAGCACAGGCTGTGGCAATTGGGACATCATGGCGGCAGTAGGGGTGGTTGACACAGTGGAATGCCGATTCTGGGCCCGGCAAACAAGCACAGACTGGTGGGACCGCATAGTGTTGTGGGTATGGGATAAAAGAAAAAGAGGACTTGTGGAACCTTAGAGACTAACAAATTTATTTGAGCATAAGCTTTCATTAGCTACAGCTCACTTCATCAGATGCATGCAGTGGAAAATACAGTGGGGAGATTTTATATACACAGAGAACATGAAATAATGGGTGTTACCATACACACTGTAATGAGAGTGATCAGGTGAGGTGAGCTATTACCAGCAGGAGAGAAAAAAAAACCTTTTGTAGTGATAATCAAGCTGGGCCATTTCCAGCAGTTGACAAGAATGTGTGAGGAACGGTGGGGGGGGGAATGGTATGGGATGATTCCCAGTGGCTGCGTAAGGACACTTTCCTGGAACTCTGTGAGTTGCTTTCCCCCACCCTGAAGTGCAGGAATACCAAGATGAGAGCTGACTAACAGTTGAGAAGCGAGTGGTCATAGCCCTGTGGAAGCTTGCAGTCAGTCGGTAATCAATTTGGAGTGGTGAAGTCTACTGTGGGGGCTGCTGTGATCCAAGTAGCCAATGCAATCATTGACGTTTTGTTATCAAGGGTAGTGACTCTGGGAAATGTGCAGGTCATACTGGATGGCTTTGCTGCAATGGGGTTCCCTAACTGTGGTGGAGTGATATCCCCATCTGGGCACCGGACCACCTTGCCAACTAGTACATAAACCACAAGGGGTACTTCTCAAAGGGTACTGCAAGCACTGGTGGATCACAAGGGACATTTCACCGACATCAACGTGGGATGGCCGGGAAAGGTGCATGATACTCGCGTATTTAGGAACTTTAGGAACTCCGGGCTGTTCGAGCAGCTGCAAGAAGGGACTTACTTCCCATACCAGAAAATTACCCTTGGGGTTGTTGAAATGCTAATAGTTATCCTTGGGGATCCAGCCTATCCCTTGCTCCCATGGCTCATGAAGTCTTACACTGGCATCCTGGACAGCAGTAAGGAGCAGTTCAACTATAGGCTCAGCAAGTGCAGAATGGTGGTAGAATGTGCCTTTGGATGCTAAAAAGCTCGCTGGTGCTGTTTGCTGACTAGGTCAGACCTCAGAGCAACCAACATTCGCACTTTTATTGCTGCTTGCTGTGTGCTCCATAATATCTATGAGAGTAAGGGGGAGATATTTATGGTGCTGTGGGAGGTTGAGGCAAATCGCCTGGTGTCTGATTTTGAGCAGCCAGACACCAGGACAATTAGAAGAGCACAGCAAGGCATGCTGCGCATCAAAGAGGCTTTGAAAAACAGTTTCATGACTGGCCAGGCTTCGGTGTGACAGTTGTGTGTGTTTCTCCTTGATGCAAACCTGCCCCCTTTGTTGATTTTAATTCCCTGTAAGCCAACCACCCTCCCCCCTTCGAAATAAAGTAACTATTGTTTTGAAACCATGCATTCTTTCTTTATTAATTTT